GAGAGAGAGAGAGAGAGAGAGAGAGAGAGAGAGAGAGAGAGAGAGAGGACAGCCCATATGACTGCAATCTATGTATTATATAATTATGTAAGCAATGTACAGGGATCTGGGTCAGACAGTGTTCGACAGGGAAACAGAATCAGTGTGGGAAATAGACAGGTAAAGAGCTATATTCAGGGCTAGAGATGGCTCCATGGGCGAGAGTACCTGCAGCTCTTCCATACTCCCGGAGTTCAGTTCCCAGCACCCAAGTCTAATGGTTCACTCCACCTGTAGCTGCTGCTTGAGTAACCAACGCCCTCTTGTGGCCTCCACATGCACAGGCACTCACATGCACAAGTACACTCCACACGTGTGCCTACACATACAAAAATGCATACCCAGACATGCCTACCACACTCACATGCATGGAAATGGGGAAAGGAAGGATCACAACCCACCATTAGCGTATTCACTTCAACTATTCAGATCTCTGCCAGAGATCTGGTCCTCGGGCTTTGGCAGGCCCCAGGCTGTCTGTGTGCCCCAGGCTGCTGGCATAGGTAGTTCCCATCCATTTCTGTCTTTTTCCTTATTGGCCCCTGTGGCAAACAAGCCAGGGGAAAACCAGCATTTCCGTATTGGGAACAATGAGTCAGGTTTTCGTTCTGATGAAAACACAGTAGGGTTTACACCAGAAATCAGAGCTGGAACAGTGAGCCCACCAAGTGTGACCCGACACGGGAGAGTGGACAGACAGTAGTCACAATGGAGGACTGATGGCCCTGGAGAGACGGGGGCTGGCCGTGCTGTGACTCTCCAGCACAGAGAATAGTGTGTGTCTGGAAAGGTGATCCTGCTGCCGTGAGAAATTAAGGCACCGCGGGGTGAGTGATGTTTGGAGCGGGGCTCAGGCCCTGGTCCACTCACATCTTTAAATTAGGACAAACTGACACCCATTTCACGATCGGAACGGGGATGCTGGGCTGTACTTTGCCTGTGACCAGCCAGCAGCCACGGAACATGTCATGCCATGCTTGAAGTCTGCTAGTTAAAATATTGCTGTGACTCTCAGTGTTTTAAGCTATGTGAACTAAGTCTTCTGCTCTGGCAGAAACACAGTTGACTTAATTATGAAAACAAAACCTTGAATGTTTTCTTGCTATCATTCCTCAGCACGTGAGTATCAAATTAGTGAATGTTTAAGTTGTATTGTGCTAGGGCTGTTTTTAAGATTTTATTTTTTGTTATGCGCATGCGTGTGCCCATACATGCCAGCACAGGTACTTACATAGACTGGAGTTACAGGCGGCTGTAAGCTGCCTGATGTGGGTGCTGGGACCTGAACTCAGGTCTTCTTCGAGAGTATTATGTGCTCTTGACCACTGGGCCATCTCTCCAAGCTTAGGATAGAATTTCAAGCGATTTCTAAATGTCCCTAAACACACTTTTGCCATTCTGTACTATGTATTTGTGTGAAGTAGTATTCTCAGAATTGACAATGATAAAATCAAAATACCACACAGGTCAGAAATACGTGGAAGACGTTGTGTCCGGCAGGATCCAACCTTCAGCCAAGATTTAAATTCTGTATAAAATAAACAAGCACATCCCTTGCATTAGTATACAGCTTTGCTTCTATGTGGAATATATGGACAGTTGGATGTACACCTAACATAAAAATAGGGTTTTATCAGTAAAGGTTTTACGTGTCTATTTTATATACCTTTCTATACCCTGGGCTGCAAAAAAAAATTTCTTGGGTGAAAAGGGGGCGGTGTCAGTGGGTGTCTAAGAGGCTCCAGTACACTTCAGTCTTAACACCCAGCTGTGTGACCATAAGCAAATCATTTCTCATATCTGAATCCTGTCTGCGCTTGTGTTCCCTGAGAACCCCAGTCACTGAAACCAAACAGACAGTTCTTGTGTAGGTGGGTGACAGAGGCCAGTCTCCTCCCTGAGGAGAGGAACAGTGAGTGCCCTGGAGAGTAGGCTGGTGTCATTATGCAGCTGAGAGAAGCTGGGTTCCAAGGCTGGGGTAGCCTAGAGTAAGCCAGCCATAGTACGTTCCCGATTCTATCTGTAACCTAGAGTAAGCCAGCCATAGTACGTTCCCGATTCTATCTGTCCTAGAACATCGAAGCCATTGCTGTCTGTCCATTCAGTTCCTGCTAGCGAAGAGCCTGGCACAGGACTGGAATAAACCAGTCAGGACCTCCCAGAGACTGCATGGGAAAATTCAGATCGTGGGTTCGAACTGGCCAGGGGAAGCATGCAGATGAAGGAGGCCTTTGTAGGGGACCCATTGCTGAGATAACAAGAGGAGAAAGGCTGAGGCGTGAGAATCTCAGAGCTTGGGATGTCTGGAGCCAGGGGTGAGGGCAGGACAGGTAGGCACTGCCGGCCCTGGGTCACCCCAGAACAGGCTCTCCTAAATGCTCACGCTCCCTCCCTCCCTCCCTGTCTAACTTTGCTGTCTATGTCAGTAACTGTGGCTGTGGTTAACACCAATACCACCATCCCTTGGAGTTCAGGATGCCCTCAGGGACCAAACTGGATGCTCACTTCCCATAGATAAAACTCCTTGGCACTGGATCTCACTTGTTCTCACTGCCCTGCGTCTTTGGGTGGCTGTGAACAGCTCGTGCACCAGGAGTAAATGTCATGGAAGTGCAGTCCTGCTCATGACTCCTACAGACAGTTTTCCTCCCTATTTGTGGTATTTGGCTGCTTGACTCCAACTGCAGAACCTTTGGATACAAAGAGTCAATTGTGATGGGCTCCAGACCTGTAGGCACGGAGCCACATGGATGCCAGCTCAGGAAATCAAGCTTATGCCCATGATGGCACAGATGCAGAAGATGAGCTTCAGAGAGTTTCAGTAACTTCTCAGGCCTGAGACGGGAGCTGGGACACCATGGCCTGGCCCACACTGAGTACAGAGTACCTCATGCGTCCTGGGAAGGTGGGAGTGTTCCTGAGCTGATGCCGTCAAAAGGCTTGGCTCAGGGCCCAGGCTACTGGGAAGGGAGGCAGGACACGGGTGTGGTTTCTGTCCAGTCAGCAGGTGCCAAGACCTGGAACCTTTGTGATAGGCAGAAGGAGTAAAGCCTGGTGGCAGGGATACAGCTTAGTACATCGGCACCAAGACTCTGACCTCTGAAACCTGTGTCGGCCGGGCATTCCCAGTAGGGGATTGGCTAGGGTGACAGGCAGGGTCCTCTCTTGCTGTGTGACTTTGGACTAGCACTCTCACCTCTCTGAGCCTTGATGTGCTCACCTGTGAGCAAGGATGATGTAAACTTTGCTGAGTAAGCAAATGAGCGGGTGGGTCTAGCCAGAGAACTTGAGGGTTAAAGCAGGGAGTGGCTGCAGTCGGGCTGCCAACAAGGACGAGTCGTCCCCTTATGCACAGAAAAGACCTGGCCATAGGAACTTTCCCAGGATCTATTTTTTGAGGTACTTAAAAATTATTTATTTTTATGATGATGATGATATGTATATGTGTGTGGCATGTATATGGAAGTCAGAGGATAATTCTGTGAAGTCTGTTCTTTCCTTTCACCTTTATTTGGGTTCCGAGGATCAAACGCAGGTCATGGGGCTTTTGCTGCAAGCTCTTTAACTCGCCTTACCATCTTATCAGCCCCTCATGACCTCTTTTGAGTGCCATGTATATTAAGGAAACCAGGCTAAGGATTTTCTTGGTCCAGAACAATGTTCCTCAACCTTCCTAATGCTGTGACCTTTTAATGCAGTTCCTCATGTTGTGGTGACCCCCAACCACAAAGCTATTTTGTTGCTACTTCATAACTGTAATTTTGCTACTGTAATGAATTATAATGTAAATATCTGATATGTGAGCTATCCGATATATGATCCCCAAAGAGGTAGCAACGCACAGGTTGAGAAGCCCTGGTCTAGAAGACAGAGCTGGAAGGAATCTATTCCATGTTCAAGTACTTCTGTTTCTCTCCTACCACCACGGCTTCTCTCATGGCTAAAAAAAATGCAAATCAATACAAGATAAGCTTGCCACTTGAAATTCATCCATCAGTGGGTCAGAAGAGTTTGGTACTCATACCTTGGGCTAGCTTCCTCTGCCAATGATGGTTCCCGCTGGCAGTGTTGAATCAACCAAAAAAGGGGAGGCAATACCCGGAGTAAGTGGTTGGAGTCAGGGTGTGGAAGGCAGAGCACATGGGCAAAGGTTCCCAGATTGTGCGGTATGTGCACAAGGCAGAGTTGAGTCTGTGGCAAGAGCCAGCATGTGCCACCTTGTTCCATAGTCTACGCTGGAACTCACGCTGAGGTGTTGCAAAGGATTCAGAGGTTCAATCTGGGCTTAGGGAAAGGGTCCTACAATCGATTAAAGATGTCTTCCAGGGGCTGTAGAGAGGGCTTAGCGGGCTAGAGCACATGTTGCTTCCAGGAGACCCAAGTTTGGATCCTAGAACCCACATCAGATAGCTCACAACTGCCTGTAATCCATCTCTAGGGGCTTAGACACTTCTCTGACCCCCTTGGGTACCTGCACAGACATGACAGGCATTCATACACACAAACACACACACACACACACACACACAAATGAAAAAGTAAATCTTTTATTTAAGAATGCTGTTGGGGGCTGGAGAGATAGATGGTTCAGTGGCTAAAAGTACTTTTTGTGCCGGTTTGATGATCTCAGACTGATTTAAAAACCAGACAGAGAGGCCACAGGGGCTATAATCTCACCATGTGCCTCAGGGAAGATGAGAGACGGCAGGGTCTCCAGCAAGTCTGGCTTTCACAGCTGCAAAGAGTCTCTGTCTCAAATAGGGTGTAAAAGTAAGGACCGGAACCTGATGACTGTGCTCCAAACACCATGTGAGCTCACACCCCTCATATGAATACACACATACACACACACACACACGTCTGCCATGGGAGCAGAAAGAAAGAGTGATGGCCTTGTGCCAGCTGCTTCTCAGTTTGTAGTGGCTGGAGAGGATGCTGGGACTCGGAGGTGAAGGCAGAGTGTACCTGTGTAGAAGAATGTGAATGTGGTCTTGGGGTCAAAGGTCATAAGCTTACTCTCTCTCTCTCTCTACTTATCAAACACAGAATCTTGAGATTTCTTGGGAAGGTTCAAACTCAGGTTAAGTTTTGAGGGCTAAGTATGGGCAGATAAGCAGCAAAGGGAGAGAATGTTCTTGAAGTAGCCGGGGACTAGGTGGAGGAGTCTGAGCAAAGACTTGCCTCCAGGGTTGGGAACAGGGTAACATAGATACACCCATGACTCATTGGAACGCTAGGTTCTGCAGGAACAAGATCTATCATCACAGACTCAAGCAAGCTGTCACAGTCTCAGAGACAAAAGGAGGGAGGGAGAGAGGCACTTGGAGACTTAGTACCTGACGCCATGGTGGAGAGAGGGGAACGTGGGCATGAAGGGTCAGCAAACAGCTCCTGAGTCTCCACTTTCTCCATGTGTCTCATTTAGCTACAATTCTGGGGCTATAGTGAGACAGCCAAGATCCCCTTAATAACAACAACAACAACAACAACAAAATCCAGACAGGCTGGTTATTTAACTTGTCCTGGTCACACAGCCTAGCCATTGTGGCTGAAGCCCTGCATTGACCCCTGCACTAGGCTGTCCCCTTAAGCTCTCTTCCCTGGGGAATTCTGGAAGTGAGTGGTCTTCGCTTGCAGCCCAGAACAGTGTTACAAGGAGGGCCTGCTTGTTTGTCCCAGCTGCCCTGCTAGCTTAGCCTCGAAATAACCACACAGAAACTGTATTAATTAAAACACTGCTTGGCCCATTAGCTCTAACTTCTTATTGGCTAACTCTTACATATTAGTTTAACCCATTTCTATTAATCTGCATATCACCACGAGGTCGTGGCCTACCAGCAAAGTCTCAGCACATCTACCTCTGGTGTGTGGGGGGGTCCATGGCATCTCTCTGAGTCTGCTTTCTTCCTTTCAGTATTCAGTTTTGTCTTTCCCACCTACCTAAGTTCTGTCCTATCAGGCCAAGGCAGTTTCATTATTCATTAACCAATACAAGCAACACATAGAAAGAAGGATCTCTCACACCAGAACAGGTAACGCGACAGGGCTCCTAATAGCACTGCACCAAGCAGCATGTTGGTGAAGACCCAACAGGGGTCATCTCCTACCATCCCTGGGGCCACCTTATAGATAGCTTTCTATGAGTGGCCTCATCCTGGCCTAGACCACACCATCTCCTTACAGACTGAAGTGGGTTAATTCTACTTTCTTCAACACTTTCTGTCTCCCCCAGTCTCCCAGTTTAGTTCCATGGGGTCCTTCATAAAGGCAAACTTAGTCAGCTTCCAGTCCCCACTCCAATTTAGAAACCTCCAGTGGGGCCATTACCTAAAGGTTCCAGAACCTCCCCAAGCAGCAAGAGGGACATGGCATATACAAGCCAGTACAGTGAACCGGGTATGGCGGTGCGTGCCCTAAATCCCAGCCCTCGAGAGATAGGGGCAGGTGGATCTCTATAAATTCGAGGCTAAGCTGATTTACATAGCAAGATCCAGAGAAGTAGAAGATTTACAGTGAGGCCGTGTCTAAACAAACTAAACAACTACAGTGTCCAAACATCAGCCCTAAGAGAGTATATCCAAATGATAATGTAAGCATTTGGTTGTTGGTGTCTGGCTGCAATTTATATAGGGGCTGATGGGAGTGGGCAGGACTGTCCTTTCCTAGACATAAGGTAGAACCTGATACACAGTAGGACCTTAACACAGACTGTTAAATGAACATGCAGATGGTCAGCAAACAAATGCATGAGTGAGCATGTCTCTTTTCTGGTCCTCTGTCTTGCTGGAGAGAATGCTGCACCTGTATCTTTGGCCCATTCTGCACAGTACATCCCAGTGTATTTTAGCATCCTTTGGGGGCTCAGATGATCCTTTCTCCTTTCCCAACACCACAATCAGCTTACGCATCTCCTGATCAGGACCACCCTCTCCAACATCCCCAACTTCTGGACTTCTGGATTCTGTCTATCCCACCTAAGTCATTTGATCCCTGCAGTGGGCAGAGACACCGTCAGCAGCCCAAGGCTCTTACTCTCCAGGGCTGTGTCCAGCAAAAGGGCTCAAACTGGCCTCTTCAAGTCTCAGTAAGACCCACGCTGGCCAGCGTGCATATCGTGGGCCTTTGCTCACCACCACGCATGCATATCATGGGCCTTTGCTCACCACCACCACGTGGGCCAAGTCTCCCAGGAAGCTGCATAGTGATGCAAACCTCAGGCCCCAGAGACTGCTACATTCTTGCCAGAGAACTCCAGCCAAGCAGAACAATAACCAGAGAAAAACTCTCAATGAATCTCGAAGTATAAATATTTACCTTGAGTCCTCTGAATTGTATGAACAGACCTTGAAAATGGTTGCACTCAGCTGGCCCGCTGTGATTCAGGTAAGCCAAACTCAGAGGGGTTAAGAGTGTGCTCTGAGGCCACACAGCTAGCTGGCGACAGTCACGGTTTGACCTTTGGTTGGTGTGTATACAGAACTTTGCTGTTCCCACTTCAGCCAAATCCAAGGGTCAAGGAAGAGGTTCTGGATCTCGGAATGTTCAGATCCACTTTTGAAATGATTAACTTTGAAGAAGTCTAGAGAGATGTTTATGTTTATTGATTTTCTTCAACCGAAAGAATTGTGGGGCCGGGGGATTCTTGGTTGGTAATGTTCTCTTCTTGTACACACAGAGACCCACATTTGATCCAAACACCCACTTTAAAAAAAAAAAAAGCCAGACATGGAGGCATGCACTTGGAATCACAGGGATGGGAGGTAGAGACAAGCAGATAAGGTCAGTGAAAGTCCCTGCTCCAAGAGTCAAGGTGGACGCTGCCTAAGGAACAAACGCCAATGCCAACTTCTGGCTTCCACATGCCCGCGCATATACATGCCCCCAAAGAGATTGATTTATGTAATTTCCAATGACTGTACCACCCAAACTGTCACCTCTCCATCGAGATTGGTCCATGGAGAAGTCACGCGTCCTGTGGGATGCCCGTGAGCACGACAGGCAGGCACAGAACACCGCAGCTACAGCAGCCACTTTGGCAGCCAGGCCCCTCTCTGTGGGGAGCTGCAGTGGCCCCTCTGGGTCTCCAGACGATGGGTAGCAGGAGACTTAAGATTTGGTACAGACTGCAGACCCAGGCTCTGGCCAGGAGCAGGAAGGGTGGGAGTCAAGCAACAGGAAAGCCAGCTGGGTAGGAGGTCCCTGGACCAACACAGGGGGCTCCAGTGCCACCAAGGCCACAGGATTGTACCTCTGATCCAGAGGAGTCTGCCCATTCTCACCCAGCATACAGTTCATCACGGGGCTCTCTCTCCGTGTCAGTGACAGGTGTGATGTTGAGCGGCACTCTCTGGCAGCTGCAACCGAGTCGAACACCTCGCCTGGCATTCTGACTCCTCTGGTCAGGAATACTGATCACTGCTCTGGGCACTGGGAAGTCAACAGAGGGTAGAGAGAGAACGTCTATGCCTGGGGGTAAATTGTGCAGAAAGCAGTAGCTAAAACCCCCAGACAAATAAGGTAAACTCATCAACCAAAAGAAGAAAATTAAAGCTACTGAGGGCAAGATGGGTTTCCTGGCTCAAAGGCAGGAATGATTAGCCGTGTCCTGGGACAGGGGAAGTGTGGGTGATTCGGGACAGCGGGAAGGCTGGGGGCAGAGGCCATAGTGGTCTAGTGACAGGAGCAGAGACCATAGTGGTCTAGTGAGAAAGTGAGAAAGAATGAAGGGTGGGGGGACAGGTGTGGCCATGGTAACTTTCTGGAGACCCCCAGTGGCTTAACAGCAGCTCTAGAATTTGAGCCCCAGTCTGGAATGCCGAAGCCGTCCTCTGAGGGCTGTAGTCACACTGATGAGGTGCAAGGACTGTCTGAGTTGAGCTCAGGACATTTGGATTCCTAGAAAACCATCGAGGGCTTTAGGCAGAGTGGTTTGCAGGAGTCTGACTTGCTGGAGCCCTCAGTCACTAATTAAGAAAATGCCCCATAAGCTTGCCTATAGCCCGAACTTAAGGAGGCATTTTCTCAATTGAGGCTTCTTCCTCTCAGATGACTGTAGCTTGAGTCAAGTTGACACACAACTAGTCCTCACAGTCACCGAGGTCTCAGCCCTGGCCAGTCACACATCTGCTTCTGTCTGTCTGATTGCTGGTAAGCTTTCCACAGTGCATCATGAATGAGTATCGGTGGGGGAGACAGAGTGGATGATCTTGCTTTGCACCCCAACTTTAACCCCCAAGTCTGGAACTTTGGCCATGTGGTCTAACTCTCACCTACAGCTGTAGGTTACAGATGAAATCACCCTCGTTGAATGCTAATTCAACGAGGCTCCGCATGAAATGTGCCTGATATACAGTAGGTGCTTACTAACTGCAGGTCCCTCTCATTGGTTTGTTCTTTAACTGCAGTGTGGATTGCTGGATAGAAGGGACAGATTTGCTCTTCTTTGAAGCTTGTTTATTATCTAGCTACATCCTGGTTATATAGTAGGTGTTACGGCTAATTGTGGTTGTCCACTTGACACACTCAGGAAGAAGGAACCTCAGTTGAAGAATTGCCTCCATCATAGTAGCCTGGGAGAGTGTTTGTGAACTTTGTCTTGATTGTTACTTGAATCAAGAGGGCCCAGGCCACTGTGGGTGGTGTCATCCCTAGGCACCTAGATGGGCCTGGACTGTTTATATAAGAAAGGCTCACTCAATGTGAGCCAGGGAACCAGCCAGGGAGCCGAGCAGAAAGAATCTGCCCATCACTGCCCACCTGGGCTCCAGGATTGATACCCACCTATGTGTCATTTGTTAGCATGCTGCGGCTCTTCCATGGCATTCCAGTAGACTTTTGATTCAGGCAGGGCTTTTTAATTGTCCCATGTTGGCACCCTCCTGTTAAGGGGATCGGATAAGAAACACATAGAGCGAATGCCAACGCCACTGACTGGTCTGGGAATGGCCTCATCTGGACTTCTCTGCCTGGATTCCCGCCCGAGCGCACGCTGCCGCAGGTTTTCAATCAGCCCAGCTTGCCATCATTGATCTTCGGACATTAACCATTGATTGCTTATCATGATGGGCATCCGGGATGTTTATAGTAACAGTTGGATGCAGCTTAATCATTAATGCTGGCTTCTTTCACAAGTTCCCAGGTTCACATCTGATCATATTGGGTGCTGACCTATTCATGAGGCACCGTCCATTTGTTCTTTAGCCTAGAGTGAGCAAGGCGGCTCAGAGCGCAGGTAAGTTACCCTTGCTGACTTGGGGCAGCTTGAGGAGGATTTCGCCAATGATGAGGACTGCCAGAGCATCTGAGGCAGGGATTTGACAGAGCAGGAATTTGAGAACCAGCTTTGCAGGGTTTGGGTGAAGATTTAAGGGAGAATACGCAGATAAATTACTTAGTGTGATGTCTGGCAAGCTTTCTATAGGGACAGCATTGTGTCTGGGTATGGCTGTAACTATTCCCATGTTCCTCCCTTCTCCCTCTTCCTCCTGCTTCTCTCCTCCCTCCTCCTCTTAGTTGTCCTTGTTTCCTCTGAATCTCCATACCTCCTTTCTTATTCTCTCCCTCCCTTTCTCAAAGTCTCCTTTGTTCCACATTCATTTCCAGATCCTGGTTTTAGAATTCACTTTGGCTTCACGCTAAAGGCAGGAACTGAATTCAAGGAAATATTGGACACCAGGAATAAAGCCAGAGCCAAAAGCTGCTAGCCAGTAGGAGATTTCAAGGCTCAGTGTGTATTGTGTCTTGTTTACTCTGTGTGTGTGTGTGTGTGTGTGTGTGTGTGTGTGTGTAGGTCAGAGGAAAACTTGCACAAGTTGGCTCTTTGCTCCCTCCCTCCACCGTGTAGGTTTTGGACCATCGGACTTGGTTTATTCACTGGCCTCTGCGGTGAGATTTTCTGTTTGAACTGCCAGCCAGCAGCTTGTTGGAGACAGCACTTACCTCTGCTGAGCTCGGGTAGTGCCACACATGCCAGGCCGTGACATAGGAACTTCCAGGGAGGGTGGCCTTTAGCTTGCCTGGCCAGGAGGGAGAAAAGTCCACGAGCCCTTTGGCTGATCTCTGCGGCCTGCTGATGCTGGGAGCACCTTTACTTGCCTTTGCTCTTGAAGCTAATGTGGGCACTGAAGGAGATCTCACTTCGGCTATCTGGGCTCAGAGCCAGCCTCTGAGACAAACTGTGAGTGAGGGCTTCTTTGAGCAGAGCTGCCTTCTTTCTAACCCTGTGTCGACTGTGGGGTTTGATTAGCAGCAGAAAAGCGGTGGTGGTGGTTTTCTAAATATTTAACCACGGGATGGCCTAGGGAGGGGTGGATCACATTGCCAGAGCAGAGTCCTAGTGTTTGGCTCCATTGACTATTAACCCTGTAGCTGCTGAATTTTAAGGAGGCCCCATGAAGAAGATCATGAGCTGCCGTAGTTCAAGGGATGATCAAGGGACTGGGCCATTTCCCACTGGGTACAGGAGCATTCTCACATGGGAAGTGGCAAAGCTTTGCCCTGAATGACAGGTTTCTGCAGGCTGAGGGCAGGGAGCTGACACTTTCCTGTTTATCCCCAAACAGGTCTTGTGTTCAACTTATGGATTTTGTTGGTTTCTTATCCTATTTAAGCCTTCTGAGGGTGTGTAGAGTTCTTTAGTTCAATACTACGTGGACTTGGTGAGTCAGCTTACCTGGTTCTAAGGTATCACAAGGCCTGCATTAACAGGGAACACCATATCTGTCTACAGGGGCTGTTTGTGCTTCGGGTTAGAATTACCCTACCATCCTTGCTCCTGGCCCTTTGCTGTCCCACGAGGAGTTCAGTTCGTCCTCACAGCAGGCCCAGAAGGCTGGCCTTACCACCCTTTTTATTTGAAATGGAGGCAGAGAGAAGTCAAGTTTTCTGCTAGCCACACAGCTTTGTAAGATATAAAGCTGTAAGTTGGAGCGCCTGGTCTCAATGTCCTTCCTGCCTGACATAGACTTTCAAATGTGGCCTTGCACAGCCAGGCTGGCGATGGGCCCTACTGGGGCTGAGGAAGAGCTTCCTTGGCTCCCGAGTGGGTTCCCAACGGTGAGGCTTCTAGCCTGGAGTCCTTACTGGAACAGTTGGCGTGGGCAGGAGATTTGGCTGACTTAGCAGTTCTCTTGCTGTTCTTTGCCGACCAGGAAATGGGACAGAATCCCAATTGTCTGTGACTGAGAAAGAAGCCCAATTCATCAGTCACAGCCCTCTTACACAGGTGCCCAGGCTTGGACAATGCAGCATCCAGTTGCCATCTACAGAACTAACGCTCAAGAATGACGCAATCGAACCAAAAACAACAAAAAAACATTTCGAAGAAAACCTCAGTTTGTTTCCTGTTCTGTGTTTGGCTACACTCATGGCTATCCTAGGGTTCATGCAGCCCACGGACCAAAGGTTAGATGTGCCTGAGAGAGGACCAGGAGCATGACCAGAAAGAGTATCTTTTCTAGAATGTGCATATCCCTCATCCTGTCCTCATGCTTCACTGGTTCCTCTCCACACAGAAGCCTCACTGCTTTTGGACTTGTTGAGTCTCAGTCCACCCTCCCTGGCCCATGGTCCCTTGTTCTAATCCTGTCACATGGACTCAGTACCTTCTCTGCTCCCACCCGCGTCTGTCCTCCGCGGCTTCCTGCACACCCTGACCTTGACTTCTCAATGACTCCAGGAGTGAGCGCGTACTCCAGTCACAGCTGAGCTCACATTTTCCTAATCTGTTTCCAAATTTAAGCCCATCCTGGAAACTGTGAACTCCCCGATGGTGGATGCCTAATATCTTTCTTCTCTACCAGCAATGCCCTGGCAAGGGTGGGTACGAGGCTGCTCTCCAGACCGAATTCACGACCTACTCCCACACCAGGCCCTGCCTTCCCTTTGGTTGACTGTTTGCTTTACTCTTTATGTTGACATCTTTGGGTGACGGCATGCAGACAGAGTGGGACGGGAGGTGGGCGGCTCAGGACAGCGTGTACAGGCGTAGGAGCGCAGGTAGCTTTGGGGTAGGGATGATCCCAGAACATGCAAGTCTTTTGTAGCAGTCATCCATCTGCTCAAATCTTTGGTCCTCGCCAGGTTTTACCCTGCTCCATCCTTTGATGGCGCACACCTCCACCTGCGGCTCCCTGCCAGTGTCCTCTAAAGCCAGTCTACACACAGACTCCTCTTTTAGCTCTCTGTCCCTCCCCCTGCCAGAACAGTCAGAACACCCTTGCTTTAAGGACACCACTCTCTTGATACCGTCAACCCTTGAGGACTAACTTGACTTGTCATCTCCCCCACCCCCAGTCCTCGGCGGCCTTGTTTTCTGTTTCCCACGTCCTCCCCTGTTCCTTGTTCCCCATGTTGTTTCCAGGGGGCCTTCATCAGGCCTCTTTCTGCTCCTCCCTGGGAAACCTTTTCTAGGCAGGGATATTAAAGGCTGTTCTTCACGTCCAGCCCGGGGAGACCCAGAACAAGAACCAGTAGGATGTTAGCCTCGTCTCCTCCCACCCCTGCTCTGTCTGGTACACTCCTTTAAGGGACTGCGCCACACAGTTTTGGGGACTGGCAAGCCCCAAATCCACGCATCAAACTACAGGTTCACTTTAACTTTGCTGATTGATATAGTCATGTTCCCAGACTGGAAACTCGGCAGAACTCCTGTGTTGTAGTCCTGAGGTGGATCCCCTTCCTTCTCAGGACTCACACATTTTTCTCCTAGGGTAGTGAAGTGACTGGGAAGACCACCGACATCACAGAGGGCCATCTGCTTCACTGAAGTCAGAGGATTGCAGATGCCAATTAAAGTGAAAAACACCTTTTCAGCAACATCTGAATTGTTCTGCAGCTATCCAACCAGGTGCTCTGTAGTCTAGCCATGTTGATACATAAAGTGGGCCTTCACACATAGAGACAGACAGACAGACAGACAGAGAGATTGGCATACACTACATACACACAGGTAAACAAAGAGATAGACAGACAGATATGCACACATAGATACAGATAGACACATATCACATAGATAGATAGATAGATAGATAGATAGATAGATAGATAGATAGATAGATAGATAGATAGAGGGGGAGGGGAGGGAGAAGACACACAAAGAGAGAGGGGGAGGGAGGGAGAGGACACAGACACAGACACACACAGACACACACAGACACACAGACACACACAGACACAGAGAGAGAGAGAGAAAGAGAGAGAGAGAGAGCTGTCTCTGTGTCCTGACTCTCCTGGGATGACTGGATTTGGCTCTGGATACCAGGCAGACACAGGTCAGGTTTCTAGGAGGAGACAGCAGGTGATGGGGGGGGATGAGTGAGACATAAAGCCTTACCTTCTTTCATCTAGGCCAAGATAGCCTAGGCAACTGCAGAGACGCTTGCAAATGTTTAAGGGAAAATAGGCCCAAGGATGTAATGTGGTACCACGTCCACCATCAGTGTGTCTACCATCAGCGCAGGGCCTCCAGTGTCCCACTGACATCTGGCTAAGGCAGCTGTCAGGCTCCTGGGCCTAAATCCAGCCCAGGCTGTAGTATTCTGTGAGGAGCCTGAAGACTGTGACCCGGCTTGGCTACTCAAAACTTCAGAACTTTTTTTTAAAAATTAAAGCAATTAAATGTGTCCTTAGATTAGCATTTTTTTCAGTGCAGAAAAATTGGGAAACTATGGGAAAGCAAGGCAAAACAGAACAAAAAGATTGAAATTTCCATGCTATCACAGCTACGGATGACTGCAACTTAGGTTTGATGTTTCTGACCCATCTATCTGTTCATGCATGAAAACATATCTGTCCTTGCTCACCCTTCAGCCCTATCTCTACTGTCCATGCTAATTCCTGCAGCCCCATCTCCACTGTCCCCACCCATCCTTGCTGCTCTGTCACCTCTACTGCCCCCACCCTGTGCCTGGCTGGCCGCTCGTGTCCCATGCAACTGTGAACAGTCTGCGTGCTCTCCTGAAACGCCTGCTCTGGGAGAGCGGAAGGAGAGCTGCCTAGCTCAGGACTGGATCCCCTACAACAAGGATACTGGGACTTAGTGTTTGCTGAATCAGTACTCAACACACAAATCCTACCTTGGGATCTGCATAAGAGGACACAGACTTAGTTTAAGCACGAGTAATGTTTAACATATAAATCGTTAATCATCAGTACATCCGTGTTGAATGTCAAATGATACATATTCACTTATATGGCTTCCTCCACTTGTCAAATAGAAATTTACTCCTAGGATTTATTTTTCTGTCATACATGTTTCGATAACAGGCTTTTAAACAAGATTTACTTCATTTTAAATCATGTATATGTGTGTGTCTTTGTGAGTGTGCCTATGAGTGCAGATGCCTGGGGAGGCCAGAAGAGGGCGTTGGATATCTTAGAGCTGTAGTACAGACAGTTGTGAGCTCCTCCTGTGAATGTTAGGAACTGAACTTGGGACCTTTGCAAGAGCAGTATGTACTCTTAGCCACTGAGTCATTGCCCCATCCCTAGATAACATTTTTAAGGACTATAAGACGTTCTATGGGCTAGGGAGATGCTCAGTCAGTAGAGTGTTTGACGTGCAAGCACAAGGACCTGAGTTCTGATCCCTAGCAGCCAGGTAAAAAGCTGGGCATCGCAGTAACATCAGTAACCTGAGCATACAAGAGACAGAGACCTGAGGATCCCTGGAGCTTGCTGACCAGCCAGACCAGTCAAATCTGTGAACTTCGGATTTAGTGAGAGATCTTGGACATTTGAGGATGACACCTGACATGGACCTCTAGCCTTGGTGTGCACACACATACACACACACACACACACAAGCAATGCACACAGCATACACAACAGATAACACAGAACATACACACACAGCACACTCACAACAGACATAATACTCACCTAACACACATACAACACATCCACAACACAACACACTTACAACAGACATAATACACACCTAACATACACACAACACATTCACAGCACAACATGTACACACACACACATGCACACACACACACCAGACATAATACACACCTAACACACATGCAACACATTCACAGCACAACATGTACACACACACACCAGACATAGTACACACCTAACACACACATATAACACATTCACAACAGACATTATACACACCGAACACACATGCAACACATTCACAACACAACATGCACATACACATACTTTCCACTATAGGTGAACCATGACATTCATAAACTTTCCTGCTACGAGGCTTAGACAGATCCCCAGTAGACAGAGAGATAGAAAAAGGAGCCACAAGCATATTTTTAAAATGATATTCTTGATGCTTCTTCTGCATACTCCTGACTAGAAAAAAAAAACCTGAAGGCCTGGTGAACTTTTGGGCTTTTTCTCTGGCCAGCAGGGCTCCCTGCCTGTGGATTGGTATGGATTGGTCTGATGGTTTCAAGGCAGGCTTAGGACATGCTTACTCCAAAGTTTGGGCCCATCAGCCTCCTTGTGTTTGTTCAAACTGACCAACCCTGAATTAGGGGAGGAAGACCCCTCAAAGACCCTTAAAGCCCCAGCACTCACAGAAAGACTGGAACTTTGTCTTCGGGAGTCCTCCCACTCTGATTTGTCTTCGGGAGTCCTCCCACTCTGATTTGTCTTCGGGAGTCCTCCCACTCTGATTTGTCTTCGGGAGTCCTCCCACTCTGATTTGCAGAGGGTCTTTCTGGGTGCTGTGCTGTGCAGGGGTGAGGGCAAGGCGCTGCAACACACCACACAGTCACTATGGCAACTACCATTTTCTAATATAGAAAACGTTGCAATAAATATCTTGGACTAAAACCTTTGTGCTCAATTTTTTTTTTAAATCATAGGATAAATTTTACAAACACGGCGACAAGTTAAACTAATGCATATACATCTTCCTGAAGCACTAAAACATTTAAAAAACTCTAGAAGTCTGGCAAGGCTTCCCACTTCTGTCACTCAGTGATTTGGGTTATGGTTTTGGTGACTGCTCCCAACTTGACAGGAGAGACTGATACTTTGTCTCAACTTCCACAGGCTTCAGTTTCCCCTCTGGAGACAGACTGTTTGTGTTTCCAGTGTGTGCCTTTGTGAGCATGACCTTCCGAATGGGGCTCTGTGAGGGAACAGCCTGCATTCCCTAAGCTATGAGGCTAGTATGGGAAACACAGGTCTGTCTCATGTTTCCTAAATAGTTTGTGCCAGGAGGCGACTGGGTCTTCTGGGGATCCGGGGTCAAATGAGGACAGTGCAATGTCTCATCCCGCTGTCCTTGCCTGAGAGCATTCTTCAGTACACCTCCTGTGACTTCCCCTTCTTTTGTAGGGTACTGTGGGGTGAACTCAGGACCTCATGCATGCTAAGCTAGTGTTCTACCACTGAGCTATGTCTCCAACCCTTTAAAAAAACTTTTTATTTTGAGATAAGTTCTCACTAAGTTGCCAGACCAACCTTGACTCACTGTGCGACCTTGGACTTGTGACCTCCTGCCTTAGTTTCTGAGTAGCTGGAGTCTTGGATGGGTTGCTGGATCCCCCTGTCTTACTCATCTTTGATGGTTCTTTAAATGGCATCCTTTGTTTTACTCTTAGGAATAAGAGGAAGCCCAAGGCCCAAAAAACCAACCATGATGTCCAGCGAGAGGGACCCGGCAGAACCCAAAGAAAGCCAGCAGAAGAGGAAGGTGATCAGTCCTGTTATCTTGTTTTCCTATTACCTGGCCATTTCAGCAACCAGGACAGGGCAGTCCTTCCTGCTCATTCCCGCTGCCCCTCCAGGGGAGGGGGCTGAGGAGGCAACAGCGGAGAGCAGACAGGGCCAAGAGGACAGCTGTGAGGGATGCTGTGAACTGTTTATAGGTCTGGGATGGGCTCTCTGCAGGGAGACGCTCACCAGAGTCCTGTTATATGGGTGGCTCTCTGGACTTGCTGTGAGAGTCCCCGTTCCAAAAGTCGAGGCGGTGACCTTGATGATGACAACGATTTGGTCCTTGTTCTTAAATTTAAGGATGCATTGAGGAGCTGGTGAGATGGCTCAGTTGGTCAAACACTTGCTGCATAGAACCCAAGTAAAAAGCCAGAAGTGGTGGTGGTGGGGTGCATATCTGTAACTGTGGTGTTGAGACAGGGTGGACAGGATGCTGGTGGGTCCCTGGAATCTACTAGTCATCCCGCTTAAAGGAATTGGGGAGCTCCACATTCGGTGAGAGATCCTGTCTCCAAAAATAAGGTGCAGGGTAAGAGGAAGGCATCTGACATCAGTCTTTGGCCTCAACCCTGTGTGTATACACACACACACACACACACACACACACACACACACACACACACAATTTCAATACGCATGCTTTGAAATCCATCTGTGCTCAACGTAATTCTGCCTCTGGGAATTCCTCAGCAGAAGGTTTCCAAAGATGATACCTTCAGGCAACGGGATTTTTTTAATATCAGAGAGGATGTGGCAAGGGTTCAAAAAAAGGGGGAAGGAAGATAGGAAATATCAGGACACTGGAGAAGACACGGTTGACTGCTTTAGAAAATTTAGGAAGGGAAAGGACCCTCTTCCACCGCGGGGAAATGAGCAATCTAGCAGTTACAGGTGTCACTAGAGAGAAAAGGTACCTCACTTGCCATCAGCGGGTGAGTGGATGCCTTAGCCCTTTGGCGTCTGAAGTCTCTAAGTACCCGGTGGCCTGTTATATTCCTGGAGTTAGGATACTGAGGGAGATTGCCTTACAAATGTAGACAGGTTGTTTGCTTCTTTGTAGCAACTAAGAGCCCAGAATCTGCTAAGAGAGCTGCTGCAGGAGACAGAGTGGTCTCCCCTCTGGGATTTCTCCTGGCCTGATGTCCGGAGGCCCCAGGGAGCCTAGCACAAACCTCTCCCCACACCCGGCCCCACCATGGGGTGCCTGATAGTGTCTGTAAAATGGTGGGAACACCAAGTCCGATTGGCTCAAACCCAATACTTAGCAGCTGGGAAGGTCCCCTTGCTTAGCACTTCTTGTCCCTCTCTGAACTACATGGAAGAGCTTACAGTTAGCCAGAGCCACCCCTCTGGGACCTTTGCATCGACACGGATTCCCCCATTCACTTCTCTTGGTCAAACTGTTGTACTTGGCAAAGAAGAGAAATGGAGACACTAGGAAGTCAGGGAATATCCGTGTGTTTCCGCACAGTAGGTGAACAGTTCAAGGAATCTGAGCCGTCTTTTTCCCCCCCTTCCTATGGTCCTTTTTCTGTTGTTACCATAATAACAGCCAACTCTCATGGGTGTGTGTGTGTGTGTGTGTGTGAGAGAGAGAGAGAGAGACAGAGACAGAGACAGAGACAGAGACAGAGACAGAGAGGCAGAGATATGGAATGTAGAGATCATCTCTAGGTCACCCTGGCAACCCTCTAAGGTTCAATTTGCTATAGCCCATCAGAAGAGGAATATTTGACCTCTAGGCATCCTGTTCTCAATGATAAGCAAGATGAGGGTGGGGTAGAAAGCTCCTCATTGTTGTACAACCAGTATATCTGGTTGTATTTGCACACACACGGACCCTGGTGCCCTTGAACTGGCTGCCTCTGTGGGGACTTTAAGTAGAGTTCATCTGATGAAGTTTCAGAAGTTTTTTGGCTTTTTTAGTTTGGTTTTGTTTGTTTTTGTTAAAGACAAGGTTTCTCTGTAGCCTTAGAACTAGCTCTTGTAGACCAGACTAGCCTCGAACTCACAGAGATCTGTCTGCCTCCCAAGTGCCTCTGTCTCCCAAGCCCTGGGATTAAAAGTGTGTGCCACGACCGCCCGACTTGTTTCAGAAGCTTTTAATGGCTGATGTGATCTGTTGTTGCTGTGAGAAAACAGTACACTGAGGAGAACTTGGTGGTGGAGAAGGAAGAAATGAGGGCATGACTGTTAAGTCCTTAGTGTGTAGGGGTGTGGCAGTCCCTAATTCTCCCCTAATTCTCCTACTGTCCTTCTCACCTGTAGTGATTGTTTTTTTTT